AAAATCAAAAGCCAGCACATTCCAAATTTATTTTGGACAAGGATTCATTAAGAATTTTTAAAATAATGAATTCAAGTAAACCTTGGTTGCTGTTTATTTTGTTTATGGTAACAAGTCAACTCACTGCCATCACGTTGATTTTGACTCATACAACCCTCTCTATCAGGTTTCTGTAAGCCTAACGGGAGGAGACTGATTGTCTTTCTCCTGTGGTGCTATCAGTGGATTCACTCTACCCTTACAATCTACCCTTTTAGTTAGCAGCACAGCATGTTAAGACTATGATAACTGAATCAAAGACCAGATTCCTAGTGGCTCCAATAAGGAATGAGGGCAGGATAGGATTCATCAGGATTTCGGAGTCTGAGTGAGTCATGTTCTAGATCTTTGTATCTTACTGAATTCCTATCACTATTTCTTAAAACAGTAATATGTATAAGAATAACAGCAACGTATAAAATCCTCAAGATATTTTAAAATCTTTTTTTTTTGATATTTTAAAATCTTGATGAAAATTCTATGCAATTGTTACTAAATTTTGTTTTTCAAAAGGCCAGATATCCCCAAATCTTAACAACAGCAATGTAATGGAATAATGGAATCTTTTCCTTCCTTTCCAAATAATCATTATGTGACATGATTATATTAATTTTCATCATACAAAAGGGGGGAAAAGGTTGCTTAAAAGAAAAGTCTTACTAAAAAATCACATTCACTCACTGATCTCAGAGACTCAGACTTTTCAAAAGGAAATGAGCAGTCCTCTCCAGGCAATCTGTCTTTCCAGGTTAAGGTCTGATAGTTTTAAAACACAATAAAAAAAACCAACAACACAACAAAACAACAAACCAGCAAAAACTATTCCCAATGACTGATGCCACTTCCCCTGTTCATAGTGTTCCCACTTATTTATAAATCTGAAGAACTGAGCAGTAAATTGTTTACAATTACAGGCACACTGATCTCCCTGCTGTGTTTGGATAATCAGCACAGAAAATTCTCAAGGAGAGTAGCCATGGTCCTTCGTACTGCACAAGGTATCACGAATTACTAAATATTAACGAGAGCTTGAATTTGTATGACTACAACCTTTCAAAGGACTGCTAGTGTTTTCTACAAATGTTCTCTCTTGTCTTAAAACATACATTATGTCTTCTAAGTAACCATCCCTAACACAGACTTTATAATTTCTTTTTGTATTTCAGTATGCTTTCTTAAAATTTTAATCTTCCTTGTTAGAAAACAGGTATTCTTGTTAAGAGCATATTCAACACAGTGTTGTTTGTTATACATAACTGGTTAGTGATTCTTAATGGTGTTAACTGGTTGAACAATCTTCTTAAGCTCCTAAACTTG